TGACACTTCCGGGTTGGCTTCATTTTTCGGGGCCGGTTGCTACGTCCATCTTTTATACAGTCTATGGTGAAGACACTAGTAATCTTGAATGACACATAAAGGCTTTGGAGCAACATATGCTGCCATCAAGACAATACCTTATCCTGGGAAGGCCTTTCTTATTTTAGTAAGATGCAGCCAAACCACATTTTACTCATATTCCAACAGCATAGCTCTGTGCTACTAAACTGGCCTTTTTGCAGTCCAGACCTGCCACCCAGAAGCTGCAATCCTCAAACAACAGTTGGTCTCCTCAGTTCCTAAAAGCTTCCAGAATGTTGCTAAAAGAGGAGTTGATGCAACACTGTGCTAAAAATGCCCCAACTTTTTCTAAATATGTTGCTAGCATTGGATTTGAAATGATCAAATATCTTTCAAAAGCAAAATTTTGTCATCGTTATACTGTTTTCAGTTATTTACAGGCTTTACATGATTCGGAAATCATTGCATCATATTTTTATTCATATTTTACACAGTCTCTAGTCTGTGTTATGTATTATAAAAGTATGAATTACTTCAACTTGACATGACTTTCTATTGCGTGTGATACTAGGAGTGAATGTGGCATCCGCACAGTGTTACTACCTAGTTTACATTATAGTTCTTTGCAGTTTCTCCTTGATCTTGTTTTTTCTTTTTTTTCCCCCCACGTCAGCAAGCTACAATGAAAGCCAGTAAACAGGATGAAAATAAAATAGCGTGAATTTACAGTTCCATAGAGGAGTTTATTGTCACTCTGCTGCCTTGTAACTAATGCCCTTAAAATAAAATGGCACCAGGAAAGGTAGTTTTTACCTTTTCTGAATATCCACAGCGTGCAATGGGTGGAAAAGATATAAATAACAATGATGTGAATCCGCAGTGCTGCACAGAGCCGGGAAAACCAGCTCACATACCAGAGGTTTTAGTTCTGAAACAGTTGTTAAAAAGTTTCCAGACAATTTATATATATATATTTATATTTTTGGACATAAATGAGCGGCCAAAAATGAGGCATACATCATGCATCCAGCGACTGGCAGGGGGTGGATGAAGACAGAAGGAATGAATGAGCTGGATGACTTGCCACGAGCTAATCTGTTGTAGAAAGAGCTGCTGGTGCAGGAAGGCTGCACTTCAGTGCACAGGACTCTGTGAGGGAGAATGTGCCAGCTGACTCTAAAATCTCTCATTTACTCAAACATTAAAGTGCCATGGCTGGTTGTTTTAATCCATTTATCACTATCTTTCTATAATCCAGATTTATGCAGTATTATTTGGGTGCACACTGTCACACATTTGTCAGCACTTTGCACCACAGACTTACAATATGAACTTCATCAGGTCCTCCAACTGTTATGTTATGGCTCAGGTCTTGTACAAGCACCCTGTGTGAAAATCTAGTTTTTGTTTTCATAAAGCTGTGTTTTATTATGTGTATGTCAAGCAAATAACAAACAGAAAACCTTAGTCCATCACAGGGGAACTCTAAGGCTGAGGTCACTGATTAAATAGTAAAAAGAATAAGCAACATATCAACATTATTCCAGATGCATTTTTGTGTGACTATCAGTCAAAATTCAACATATGCTAAGAAAAAAAATTGCCAATAACAAATCTTTATACTGAAAAAGCTGGCTGAAGAATCCCAATCCTTAAACCTAGCCATTGATATAACAGCTTTGATTGTAGATATTCAATCAATAATTCCAAATCAATAGTTAAGAATATTTTACAACACCGATATCCTGATACAGTCTATTTCCCTTCATCTGATGGTGCCCAGGTCTTATAATAAGACTGATTTATGGGGGCTGATTTAATTACCCGGTTGCACCTACATGTTTGAAATTAAAAATCATTTTTAATCACAGTGTGATATGTGAGGAGCCATTACCATGACAATGAAGCAACCGTCATGTGCTGATCAAGATCACGATTTAAAAGGGCTGGAGAGAGCCGTCGGCTGACCTTGAGTTTGTTGTGATTCAGTATCAAAGGAAGGTCCAAATGCAGACACATGCAGCACACAGACAGCTGAAATAAACGAAGTAATTTTAATAATATGTTTGTGTGATGAAACAAAGGCTGGCAGCGAAACAAACAA